TTCTGTCACTCCTGCTTTTCCATTTCCTGTTGTCATTGTATGGTTTCAAAGATCTGAGGTCTTCTCAGCAGACTGTTCTTCCATTTGGGATGGTCCTGGTCCAATAGCCTTCTGTGAGTTGATGTCAATGTTGCATTTTTTCAAGTTGGCCTTGAGGGCTTTCTCTGCCTTCCTTTTGAGTGTACATCTTGACTGAGCTGGGAGAATAAGACTTGCTTCAAGAGTCTGTAAGCAGGTATCTAGATGATGTGGCCGGCCCAGCAAAGTTGATGTTAGATGATCATTGTCTTGATGCTCGTGGCTTTTGCATCTGAGAGGACACTAATGTTGGTGTATCTGCCTTCTGACTGGATTGGAAGGATCTTCCTCAGGCAGTGTTGATGGTAATTCTCCAACAACTTGAGGTGTCTCCTGTACATTGTATAAGTCTCAGTTCCATAGAGTAAACTGGGATCACAACTGCTTGATAAACCATGGACTTGGTTTCAGATCTGATCATTGAGGTCAGCATTCTGTAAGAGATGGCTTCTGAGGTACAGGAAATACTCGGTGTTTTCCAGAGTCTCATCATGAATCTGAATTACTGGAGCGGAGGACTGTTGTTAAGAGGTTATTGATGGAGGACCTTAAGCCTTCTGAATGTTAAGCATTAGTCTCATTTTCTTGTATGTCTCAGTAAAGACATTGACAGTTGCCTGAAGGTCTCCTTCTGAGTGAGCACAGACATGCATCATCAGCATACTGGAGCTCAGTGATTGAGGTTGGAGCAGTCTTGGCTTTGGCTCGAGGTCAGCTGAGATTGAACAATTTACCTTCCATTTGGTAGTTTAGCTCCACTCCAGCTGGAAGCTTGTTGGTGGTCAGCTATAGTATTGTGACAAGGAATATTGAGAAGAGTATTGGAGCAATGATACAGACTTGTTTAATTCCAGTCTTAACCTCAAAGCCTCAAAGGGTTATATTGGGTTAGTGAACCTACATGTCTGAGAAGGATGCAAGTTTGTAGTGTGCTAAACAAGCACCTTGGAAGAATGAGGCAAGAAGTTACTGACCTAGTGTAAGTCCTCTAGAATCAGTGGGCATTTTTACATGTATTCCCAATGCAGAGCTGGGTGGTTTTAATTAGTGAGCTGCCCTAATTAAAAGTGGCCAGTGCTGCATTGGGAGCAGGTGTATCAGTGGTGCAGCGTACATCAGCACTGAGTAAATAGAAGCGGTACAGTTTGAACTAATGCACATTAAACATGTTCCAATTCAAAGTGTATCACCGCCATTTTCTCAGCTCTGATGCGTGCTGTGCCACTTGTCTCGGATGGCCGGAGCCGACTCGAGATGATTTAGAAATCACTCGGTCGCTTGGGCGGGCTGGTGAATGGAGAGGCAGACAAAGCTTATTGGTTGCAAAAACTTTACTTATTCCGCTTGTAGCCGCGACGCAGGTGGTTCGGTCGCTTGAACAACTATGTGAGTTGCTCCAGCTGGCAAGGCTCAGGCCAGCTAATCCGTCCACAAATTAAGCCGGCAGGGAAAGGGTACGTCGAGGATTGCGCTCGGCGACGGGGAGAAGAATCGATAGGTGATCAGTCTATCGATCAGCTCAGCCGCAAGTCAGATCTCTTTAGAGGCACTCTGCAGTGTGCTCAAAGTTCTCCGACTTGGGCAGAAGTTGCACGAAATTTTAAACGGCTAGCAAGCCAATTACTAGCCGCCACGTAGGAATAATTTAGAACTGGCCAATAGCGGGACACAAATTTGCATTCAAATGGCGGGAACTCTCTTGCACCAAGGTTTTTCTGTTGCAACAAAAACCTTTGCTGTGCAAGAGGCTCTCATGTGGCGGGGAAATTCCATCGTGCCGAGGCACCAAAATCACTGGGTTGTGACACCACTGATACACGTGATGCACGAGGCTGCCAGCACATGTCAATTTACATGCTTGAGTAGAGTCGATAAATTGAGACTGCTTCAATGCGCTAGATTTCCAGCACGTTGGAGCAGACTCCCTGTGTGCGTGCAAGTGCACAAAGAGGTGATGTATGTCAATAGCCAGATAGGCAACAGTACTTAAGCCTGCCTAGAGAGCATGGCTTTGTCTAGTCTTTCCTGGTAGAGGAGAGACTGAGTACATTAGCCTAAAAAAAGTAAAGCATTTGACATGGAGATGCAGAAAATTCTGAAGGGTCAGAGGCAGGGTCTGCATTTTAACCTGTAAGTTGGCTAGGGGCTGCATCCTTTGATTTAAGCTCCAGGGTAACAACAGGTTACTGTTCTGAGATGTTCTTTTGTTTATTTCTTCTTGTAATTCTAACTGTGTCTCACTACATCATGATTTATTTCTTATGTTTGTTCTTGGTTTTTTATAATAAATCCTTTCATTATCACTTTATCACCCTCTTGATGTCACTGATTTTTATGATAGCAGAGTATGTTAAGGATTCAGACTTGCCCCATTCCAAGAAAAGTGGGGGGTCCATCCTTTCTGTGCATGTTACCCAGCTTGGCAACTCTTATTCAATTCAACACCTCCTAAAATCAGGACTTGTGAAACTATTTCACCTTTCTATGGGACCTGCTGTGTTTGACAAATTGACATAGTGCATTGCTTTTAGCTAAATGGCAAAGATCTTAGCTACATAGCTACACGCATCTCCTGGGGGACAGTGATTTGATGATAAGGCAACCACAATAGAGTTTTTTTCTGGGAAATGAGATGCATATCTTTTATATCTGCATGTCTGAAACATGGCAGACTGTCCCAAATGGTCATTCTGATACTCCTTCTCACCCTAGGCAGGGGGGAGGCTTAATTTAACTATATGTTTCATTATAACTAGTGCCAGTCTTTGGTGAATCCAGCCACCTTCATTTGTATTGAAGAACTGATTAAGGACCTTCTCTGCCCTAGGGAAAAAACTGGCCATGGTGCTTTTAAATCACTCTCTGAATGAGTGTAAGGAAATTTCTCCATATGTCACTGTTCTGTTTGTTACTCAGTATCATCTGGTGCATACTACATGTCATGGATAATGCTACTTCATGCTGCTTGTTCCTAGTGTTTGGTAATATTGTTCTTGGCACTTCCTGCTTTTGTTTTCTTTATTAGGCTGTTTGTTGCCACTCACCATTATCAAAGTAATGGAACAGAGGAATACCTAGTAGGGCTATGCAAAGCTTCGGTCCCTGATTCAATTTGGTGGAGATTCAGCCTGATTTGGTGGCCAAGTCTCCAAATACAAATCAAATTAGGAGACCGTTTAATCTCTCTGAATTGAATCACAACCCTCTGAATTGATTCAGAAAGATTTGACGATTCGGACATAGACACAGCTTTAAATATTTTTTCTACATACCTCAAGGTATCAGATGGCTCATGAACACCGAGCTGGTGGGGCAGATGGAGCATCCTACAAGAGCACACAGGTGGGGGGGGGGAGGGGCAGCACACTCAGCAGCAGACCCAGAAGTGGACCAGAAACACTTCCAGTCCACTTCCAGGTCCACCAGGGAGTGTGCTGGGCACCCCCCACCACACTCCCCTGGCTCAGTGACTAGTGCCTCCTGGGTCTGGGGACCACCTCGGGTCCCCCCACAGTCAATCACTGAGCTGGGAGGGGGGCATGGGAGGCCCCCCTGCACACTTGTCAGCAGACATGGAAATGGGCCAGAAGTACTTCCAGTCCACTTCTGGGTTTGCCAACAAGCACGTGGGGGGGGGGGGGGGGGGGGGCCGCAGGAGGCCTCCGGGCTGTGCCCCCATGGAATGCTCCATCTGCCCCACCATTGCAGCATTCATGAGCTGCACCTGATACCTCAAGGTATATAAAAAACATTTAAAGCTGTCTCTATGGCCGAATCTCTGATTCTCTGAATCAGCATTGACTCTTCAGATTCAGATTTGGCCGAATCAAATTGGGACAGTGATCTGAATCAACGAATCAAATCATTGTTCCCGATTCGGGCCAAATCTGAACCAAATATGACCTGTTTCACACCCCGCTAGTAGCTAGCTATTTTGGTGCCATGCATAGAGTGGTGGGGAAGGGGTGTGCTATTGAGCACTGTAGACTGGGTGGGGAACCATCTTACCTGCCATGGCATGGACACACCACATTCCACCTGTTGCTGCTGCTGTGATTTGAGCTTGGGCTACCATGGCTGGCTGCAGCAGTTCCTTCAGTGTGAGCTCCCTGGAGGCCGCCATTTTGTTACTGTCATCTAAATCAGTGCATAGGGATAGGGCTTTGCTAGCCCATGGCTTCTTATGCTACTGAGACTAGACATAATATTAATAGTAGAAGTCACTAATCAGAGGCTTAATGAAAGAAGGTGGAGGGGGTAGAATGTTGGTTTAGGATTTAAGAGACTTGAGTTAATTGCTTGCTGTTTTCTAGCTTTCCTGTATAACCTTGTGAAAAGTCACCTAAATTGTGTCTATACAGTTAACTTGCCATACCCAGCAGTGATGAGTTCAGGCCTGCTGTGGTGTTTCTAAAATAGAAGCAGTAGGGCCATATTTTTGCAGGACCCTAAGTAGTCTGGATAAACTGCGGGAAGGCTAACTATCATTGTGGGAATAAAAAGACTAGTTTTCCCCCCTCCCCCCATGCTGATTAGGCAGCCCAAAAGGCTGCTCCAATGCATCTACACCGATGCTGATTTAGGACACCATGTAAGCAAAATACATTGGTCAATTGAGGGTGTCTTTGTACAATACGGTAAGTTTTTGTAGCTCTCATGATTTTGCAACTCCATTACAAAATCCCAAACTCTTTACACTCAGGCAGGTGAACATCTATCATTTTAGGTGTCTGCTCCCTGGCAAGCTGAGATTTTAAAGAGGGCATCAGCTGGTCCCAGAGCATGCCCCTCGTGTTATAACAATTTACATTTACTTCATCACTTAGGCACAGATACGAATCTCCAGAGGATCTTGTTGCCTGCCCGTGGGCTCAGTGGACAATACTATGCCTATGGATCCAAACCACAGGTCTCAGGACTTACTTCATGGTCCTCCATAGTGACTTCCACTATCTATGGAAAAGCAGAGCTGTCCTACTGGTAAGGCCAAGCAGTAAACTTCTAAGGGGAAATTATAGGAATGGGAAGGTTCAAATAGGAGGAAAAAGGTTTATATATAGGGACTTACCCAAATTTCAATCTCACAGGTTTTGTGCAAATCGTGAAATCAGGT